TCTATACTGATAAAGGTTGGTTTTCTTCATATGGGTGCCAACTTATCAAACATGGAGAATGCTCATAAATCATCCAACACATCCTCCCACATTCTCACCTTCCATTCAACTGCTAAATGGAAGGCTCATTTTGATGCCTCCAAAGAAATTAACAAGTTGGTATGTATCTATAATCCTTGGTTTTAGTTCCTCTCTTTTTTATTATTCATTATTTTTTCTTACCATTTTCCTGAAGATGGTCATCGATTTCACTGCTACATGGTGTGGACCTTGCAAACAAATGGACCCAGTTATCCGAGACTTCGCTGCAAAGTACACCAACGTCGAATTTATCAAAATTGATGTCGATGAATTGATGGTATTCATATTTTTCTTTTCTTTCACTCTACGTATGTCTCTTGATATTAAGACTTTAGATAAACACCATATACTTGCATGACACATTATTAACTTAATCTACGTCCCTTTATATCGATACATATATATTTCGATTATAAAATTAAAAATTGATAAATATTCTGATAATAACATAATAATCAATAAGATAATAAACGATAAATCTTATTAAAATAAGTTTAAAATTAAACTTTGATATTATATTAAGATTTAAATTTTAAATTTATCTAATTTTATAAAATAAATTTATAAGATAAAATTTGTATCCATTTATATATTATATAAATTTGTTTAGTTTATAATGAAGATCTCCAACACATATGTAAAATATTATTGATAATCTGAACATTAATTGATGTATGTTTTAATATGTAACAGGGGGTCTCTCAAGAATTCCAGGTGCAGGCGATGCCAACGTTCATATTGGTGAAGAAAGGTAAAGTTGTTGATAAGGTGGTAGGAGCTAAAAGGGAAGAGCTGCAAAAGCTTATAGAGAAGCATCTGAATGTGTGATATCTTTCATGGCTATTGACCTGTAAAGAGGAATAAAGACAAATTCTTCAATATCAACTGCCATATCCCATTATCATGTTGATGAGTGCTTAGCATTTATATATGTGTGATCCTTTTAGTGTTTGATCAGAAATCTTTTTAAGTCTGAAATAATTTATGTAACCAAAATGCGGAAAATTTGTCTTTGGGGTTTTGAGAGACTTTAATGGCACACCAGCCTAGGTTGATTTCAAAATTATTCTACAATGTGCCGTTTACATAGTTGAAATGCTTCATTTGTTTTCTTTCCGAACAATTTTTAAGTTTCAAGTTTTTTTAAAATTTTATTTTTTAACTCCTTTAAAAGATTGTTACATTATTAATACTAACGTTTTGCATCAACAAAAATACACCAAAGTCATATTAACTCAACGATAAAAACAATAATTAAAAAATATATATAAAGAAAAAATGAAAATAAAATTATATAAAATAAGTAGAACTTATATATATTTTACTGATAAAAAAATATATGGATGTCTTATATAATGAATAGAACTGACAAATTAGTCTGTGCGCTCTAATCCGATGGAATACCTAAGTATTTTATGGTAATCCAACACTAATGTTTTGTAGTTGTTTTTTTCTATACTTTTCACATCCTTGTTTGAGATCAACGAATCATTCTAACTCATTTTAAAAATGAAAAAATAAAATGCAAAAATAATTTAAGCATATTAATAAAGACATATTTTTACTTTATATAAGTGATATGATATATAAATTATAATATTATGTTGTAATTAAATAATTTTCAAATACTTTGATTTTTAAGAGTTAATTTTAGTAAATTGGTGTTCACAAATGTAGAGTTAACTGCATATTTAATTATATTAAGCATTTAGTAGTTTTGTAATAACTTTCCAATCTAGCAATAACATCAATTTTTAGTTAGAGATGACAATCAACTCAAGATTCACGTTCACTCTGTTTTTGGTATGAGTCAATTTGGTTATATTTGAATTCAATCCGATTTGGCTTAATTTTTTTTTAATCAATTCGATTCAACTTGAATTTAAGTTGATTGGTTCAATCTAGACTTAAACTTATTCATATAGACTTGAGTCTGGTTCATTCTACTTGAGTTTTCGCTCCTCTCTCCTTAACCTCGATTAGAATTGACTTGAGTCAATTTGAACTTGAACAAACTCAATTTAATTTGGGATTGGGCTAATTTAGATCAATTTGAGTTAGAGGACTCGACTTAACTTGGATCTAGACTAACTCGACTTGAATTGAGCTTGTGTTAATTCGACTCAATCTTTAGAATAGGTAAACTTGGTTCAACTTGTGCCCTAGGCCAACTTCAATTTCCTTTGATAATTACTAATGAATATAAAATTTTGTTAGTAAATGTTACCAACTGCATTATTATTAAGAGATTTCAAACTGTTAGAAATCCGTTGAAAAAAGTCGTTATCGACAAATTTTACATATTTTCGACGAATTTTGAGTGTTGGTAATACCTACTTTTCTTCTAGTGAAAGAAGGGAATGTCCCACCAGAGCACCACCAACGCCATCACAGCACAAGGCCCACCAGCAACAACCACCAATGACGAGACACCAATACTCTCTCAACTTAATCCTACAATGAGGTGCAAGAGTGTGAGAGAAAGAAGGGAATGTGCGAGCACCACCAATGCACGAGAGTGAATACCCACGACTCATCAGTAAAGAGTCACCACAACGGGATAGGAAGAAGAGAATGTGTGAGCACCACCACAACATGAGAGCGAACAATGAATGTGATGAGTCACCAACAGTTAACGATAACGAACTGTCAACAAGAGAGCAAGAGGAAGAAGGGAAAAACATGAGAGTAGGGGAAAAAGTGAAACTGTGGTGGAAGGAATGGTTGTGAAATTTTACTTTTTTTCGGTTATAGTAATCAACTAATATAGAAAATCTTCTCCATCACTTTTATATTTGTTTTAGGTCTAACTTGTATAAAAAAGTTTTGTAATTTATTACAGTTTTATTATCACACAATTTTCTACATCGATTCTTGGTCCAATTAGTATAAAAAAGTTTTATAATTTATTATAGTTTTGACGCTACTTTATTTTCTATATGGGATCTAACTAAAAAAAATTAGAAGAAACTATTACTCCACTTTTTATTCATAATAAATTTTAAATAATATAAAAAGATGATATAAAAGATTTTTCTACACTAATCCTTCTTATCATTGTTTAATATTTATTGTTGACAAAATCACTGTAGATGCATTCACTCTAAAAACAAATAAGAAACAACTGTTATAGAAGACTTTTGATTATACACATAAGATCCGTCACCTTATATCAGTACGACTTGTAGAATTATATATAAATATATATATATATATATATATATATATATATATATATATATATATATAGGATGTGAATTTTTCATATTAAGAACACCAGTATGTGTCCCTTAGTATGGTTGTTTAATATTTTCTTTATCAAATAAATGGTTTTACTTTTTTATAATATTAAGAATCAAGAATGATAATTTTAAAAGGATAAAAAGAAATTATGAAAACCAAATTAAAGTTCAGCCATCTTTATAAAACTGTATAGACATATTTAGAAGTTTAAAAAAATCCATGTCTTCTATCAATTAGAAATAGAGTTTGAAAACACTTATATAACTAGAAATAACTTTTCCCTTCGAATCAATTTTATTGAATTGAGTAAGTGCTGTTGTAACACCTTCAAATGCTCTAGTCAATCCAAAACTTTCTTGCTAATCTAGAATTCTTGCTTTCACATCAAGCACACCTTCTATATTATCATTTTGGTTTTTTCGTTTCATAAGATTCCTCAGTTTCATAGGAAGCATTGAACATATTTTGGAACCAAATACATTTCCAGATTTGGCTGCATCAGTAATGCACCGCAGAAAACAAAGATCAGAGAATATTAATTTTTTTAGCAAATGGTTGACATTTATTATTATTCTTTTCTACTTTTAATCTTGAGAATTTTTGTACATCCAGGAATGTTTAGCCTTCTACTTTTTGAATAAACTTACTGAAAACTTTCATAGCCAAACTTTGGTTCTTGAGAATGATATGTGCCTAACATTAATTCTTCTGCTTACATTTTGTCAACAAAGTTTCACACTAAATTATATGAACGAGGAAGAAAAAAGTCAGTAATTATTAAAAAAATAGGAGTTGATCACCATCATAATTCAATAACTGTTGAGTGTAAGGAGATTTGAATAACTATGTCTCACTAAAGAATTTGTAATTTCATCTTTGTAAAAGTTAAGTAAAAAAGTTTAAATTTTATTCTTATAAAAGTTACATGAGATTGTTTGCAATTGTTTCATGAAAAAAATTACATATAGTAATAAAACGTTTTCAGTGAGTATTTATGTGACTACTCTAACTCATTAAGTCTTTAGGATACATAAGAAACTTGATGATTATGTAAGAGAGTTTATAATTTTATTCTTATAAAAGTTAAAGTTACACGAGGGGGCTCATAATGTATAAAAGTTGAATGATAGTGTGCAGAAAAAAATGCCAAATATATGATTTTCTATTGGTGATTCTCATTGTTACGTTATAAGATGAAGTCCTCCATTTTGAAGGCATATATGAAAATTACTTTGATCCAAAAGAAGAAATTTGACACGAATGACAAATACATCTATCTTTCAATCAGAATAAAACACATATCATTCATAACCTTTGGCACAACCAATTTTTGTACTGAATATCATGTCATCCTAAATCAATACTATATACTATCCTCTCTCTCTCTCTCTTGTTATTGATATCATATCATACTTTGTAGAATAATTATGATTAGTACAATTTATTCATTTGGCAACAACGTCTTGTCATGCGAACGACTATTTAACGAACGTTAATATTGAATGGTGCTAGCGCCAGCTACTGATTCTAGCACTTATGCTCTCGAATTTCTTTCTCTAACTAGCTCCAATGGTCCATTTTATCACCCCACTTGAAAGAATATGATTCATTTCTAAAGAAATACACATTCCTACTTCATCATAAATCCCTCTATATATATATTCCAAGTTTCAAACCATTTTTCCATCAACCAAACCAATTAAGAAACCTCAGACTCCTACCTTCTTATACATCATGCCACCCACCATTTATAACTTTAAGTCTTTTAGGTCTTCTGGGTCATTCAATTATTCAACACCAAAAAGAGACTCCGATTCCAATATCCTTACTTTCCACTCAACGGATAAATGGAATGCTCATTTTAAAGCTGTCAAAGAAACTAACAATCTGGTATGTTTGTGTTTATGCTCTTTAAATCATCTAAAATCAATTATCTTAGTTTTTTAGCATCAAATTCAAACTCAAAAGCTTTCTTTCTCTCCCTTTTACTTTTTCTACCAATCTAACTTTATATCACATAATCAACTGATAAAGCTGATTTTCCTAATTTTCTGTTTTTGGTGTAGATGGTACTTGATTTCACAGCTACATGGTGTGGCCCTTGCAAACTCATGGACCCAGTTCTCCAAGAGTTTGCTGCAAAATACACAGATGCTGAGTTCATCAAGATTGATGTGGAGGAGTTAAACGTGTGCCACTCATTCATTCATTTCCCCTTTACTTTATATAATATCTAAATGTTATTCTTTTTGAGACAATTGATTTTCACCACTTGAGAACTGATTTATATTCATGGTATGAATGATAACAGGAAGTGTCTCAAGCACTCCAGGTTTACCAATTGCCAACATTCATACTCGTTAAGAAAGGGAAAGTTGCTGATAGAGTGGTGGGGGTGAAGAAGGAGGAGCTGAAAAGGTCGATTGAGAATCATAGAAAATAATAATGAATCACTATGCACTGTAATAAAATCAGAAAGGCTCAACAGCAGCACATTCTGCCATGACCATTTCGAGGAAAAGACAAACTATCAACAACTGAGTTTGAAATAAGCTGGTTTCATCAGAAGCTATTTATTCTTTTACCATTACAAGTGTTCAATGTACTATGTTGCATGTAGTTGCCTATATTTAACAAACAAGGGCATCTATTAGCATATATCAATATCATCCCCCTCTTTTGGATTATTTGACTCTCCTCATCAAAATCCTCCAGCACTAACATTTTATTGTTCGACAACTAATATAGTTCTCTCTCACAAGGAAAAAAAAACAGAGAAAATGATACTCTAATTGTCACCTTAAGAAAGGGTTCTACAATATAGAAGGCAAAATTTGAAAGAGAAATGAAGGGCCAAAATGAATGGACATTGATCTACGAAAGATTCTAACTAAAATACAGAAATATCCTTAGATAAGTCAATTTCAAACTAATCGTATCATAATAAAGAAGACAACTGTATTTGACTGAAACCAGCCAATGCACAAATTCCTATAGTTCATTTCTTTCCCTTGTTTATAGAACAGCAGGGTGAAAATACCTCAAAACTGTAAAAACATGGATATACACTTGTTTCCAAAGCTACATATATGATATCAAATAGCAACTATACTTGGTTTATTTGTCATATGCACATATTTCCTTTAGATTGGTGGAGTTACATAAGAATTTACAGTGTAGTTATTTCTTTCTTGTTAAAGGATAGTCACAGCCATTAGTCTTAAAATATTTGTTTAGTAATCAACATCACTAAGAAGAATCCTTCTTATATCACTCTTTTGTTGTGTGGACAGCCTTGATGGAAACATAATATCAAACTTGATTCTGAGGTTTCCTTTCTTGCCAGGTTCCTTTGAGATTGGCATACCTTCATTTGGGACCATTAGCTCAAACCCTGGTCTCACAATATCAGTCACTTGGATTGTGAGATCTCTTCCATCCAAAGTAGTCAAGTTAAAAGTTTTTCCTATGAGAGCCTCTACAAGTAATATCTTCTGGATCACTACAAGATCATTTCCATCCCTCTTGAAAATATCATGAGGTCTCTCATCCAACACAAAAATCAGGTCAGTTGCAGCTCCTCCTGGTTCTTGGTTGCCTTTCCCAGGAAAAGTGATTTTTGTACCCTTCTTCCAACCAGGTTTAATATCTATCTTCAAGATTTCTTCTACAGACTTTGGCACTCTGCCAAAACAAAAGAAGAGGGCTCCTAATGAAATTGAAGAGAGGAAGAACACAGGAGATAGAATGCTTCAAATTATATGTTGGTAAAAATTTGATGCAAATAGCCAACTTCAACAGTAAATAAGTCTGATTTATTGAAACAAATCAATTAAAATTATCTTACAATGCATAATTTTTTTCTTTTTTATGCAGATTAGCATCTGGACCACCACATACCAGCCAACATATACGCAACATGTGACTATGATATTCAATTTACTAGAAAAAGTCAATAAAATTGGATTCAATGTTACTTGCTAACATGTGAGAACATGATGGTCTTATACTACGTAACGAGTTCTCAGGGTGAAAACGCAATTCCCCAAAACAAATAAAATCCACCTTCTTTTTCTTCACTTTTGGGCACAGGATACATACTGCACACACGTGCACGATCAAACCAAATAAGCATAACGCCAAAATAAAAAACATACCAAGACGACAGCAAGTGCAGAATCCAAACATAATAATGGAAAAAACAACAATAATAACGAAAACAAAACAAAAGGACACAGTCAAGGAATTACCACGGGTCATACCAACTACTCTGTAAACTATCCAAGCTTTATGGACTACAAAACACCACATATTTGCCTCATAACACAATTCCATATTAGCAGCAAAATTTCATTTGTTTAACACAAAAGCAATCTATTTTCTATTTTATTGATATTTCAAATTCAAATTCTTGGTGTTGTAGTCAACACAGAAGGCTTGGTTACCATCAATTCTAGTTAAAAACAAAACAAAAACGCAAGAAACTGCATCTAAGTAATGTCCTCTAAATTACCTTCCAGTACTCTAATTCAGGTAATGTAAAAGCAAATCATGGATCATAATTCTACCACAGGAACCACAGATCTCTACTTGCAATGAACAAGCAACAGCACGAAAGAGAATGCAAGGGAGACAGTTGGTGAATTACCCGAATTCATCAGGAACAGTCCTTGAGACCTTCAATTTCTTTTTGCAACCCTTGTAAAGCTCCAGAAGGGTACAAGTCAAGCTGCTTTCAACCACCACTGCCTCCTTCATAATCCCATACCCTTGTTCTTTGCTGAAGCGTTGAGAGTTAAGGGGATAGTGACCATAAAGATCGTAGATCTGGCGCTTCTTGGGGTCACTGAGCACATTGTAGGCCTCAGCAACCTGCTTGAACTTGGCTTCAGACTCTTCCTTCCTAAGAGGGTCTTCAAGATTCTTATCAGGGTGCCATTTCATGGCCAAACTCCTATAAGCCCTCTTCACCTCTTCATCAGTGGCATCCCGTTTCACCTTCAGTATCTTGTAGTAGTCACCAGCACCCATGTCAACCCAACACAAACAAAAACTGAGTATTCTCCCTGAAAATCAGTGCTTTTTTAGGGGAAGAAATTTTCTATGCTTTTGTAAACGACTTTGTGTGAGTGACTGCAAAAGGGTAAGTAAATATTAGAGAAAATCACGGTTTTGGAAGAGATTTAAGCAGAGATAAACACTGAAACAGAGTAATGACAAGCAACAGCACCAGACGCGTACTTTAAATTGTTGAACTTTGGTTTTCGTTATCTATTTCATCCTTTTGAATTATACGATTGGGAGATGGTTGTTTGTCCTTGCTAGTTGATGCATGTGCAGCAAAATGCGTCAATTACACGGAATAATGTTATTGGAGGGAATAACAGTAATAATAGATAATGGCAAGTCAAATTGAAATCTTGGTAGAGTGTAAAGTTGAAATTGTCATAGAAACACAACACTGATATGAATTACTTTTGAGTATCGAAGGTTTTGCTTTTCATTGCATGATAGCTTCTCCCAAATATCTAGTGTAGATGTTAAGCGTTCAATAGCTATGACTAAGACTAGACCTGCTTTTATTTAAAGCAAATATATTATTAATCTTAAATTTTAAACATTTTCTGAAAGCAGGTAAATCTCATTATTAAGCCATTCAGTTTATTTAACTGAGACATTTTTATTAAAAAAATATAAAGTGGGTGTACGTACATATGTAGAGAGGGGTTTTCTAATACTAGAGAGAATTGAGTGAATTATATAAAGTTTTTAAATTTTGCAACTATGAGTTTTCTGATATGAATTGTAAATTGTGAAGTCGGCAGAAAGTAGAGTACACGCTTTACTTTGGAATTTCTTTTCTTATTGACTTGGTTTTCCACTTTTTCCAGTAGTAATTTTTAAGATACGTATTTGTCAAACAGTGATATTGAATATAAAATACTACTCTATGTTTCAGATTTGAATACTTTCTTTTTTCTGAAAAGTAATTTAACATTATAAATATACCCAACCATGAGTAATATAAGATGTTTAAAGGGGATGCACATAAAAAATAAAAATTAATTTATATTTATAATTAATTATTATTTTCTATATTTAAATAATTAGTTATTTAAAAATGGTATGAATGTTTTGTAATCGTAGAATAACATTTAATAGCACGTTCATGTTAATATTTGTATCACTGAATTCTTTCCGGGTCTTTTCTTTTTTTCATTACTAAGTAAAATTTCAAAGAAAATAATTAATCTATAAATAAAACAGCTGAGGAGCTTGGAAAATTTGCCACCTGTCATTAAAAAATGAAATAATTAAAATTATAAAAGGATAAGAAAAGTAAAACGACTCTCTGAATAAACCACACGTAATTATGCCTCAATGAGAGGCGTGACTAATCTATCATATTATTTGTGTCTGCCTTCATTTTCTCACAACCCCTGTTTTGATTTTCTTATTTCGTCTTTTTTTTTCTTTCATTCTCCAGTGTCAATGTTGGGAGATTCAGAGAGTGCAAACTAGTTTGGGAACATCAAGAGACCAAACACGTCGATAAAAAAAAGTAAGAGAAAAACAAAACGCAAAATTTTTTTTTTAAATAACATCCTTTTAAAAAATAATTCTTCAAATAGATTTAGTAGAATATTATTTCTCTAAATGTTATTTATGGTAGTAATTTAGAATATGACTTCTAGAGTCAACAATATCATATTTGTTGCTCATAATTATAGACAAAGTATCTTACGATTCATTCGCAATGGTGAAGAGTCACCAACATCATCACCAACCTCTCCCAAACAAAACCCAAATAACAAAAACGCAAAATCGAATCATTTAATCATTTTTAATTATCACATCAGCACTTCTCTCCAAGTTTTTCCATTGCGTCTTCTTCGTTCACCTGCAAGAGAAAAACCTAGAAACAAACCAACTATCACGAAGTTCACCATATCCACTATGAAGGAGAAACCCTATTCTCGTGTGATGGCACTGGAGCAAGGTTTTCTCCAATCTGCAGATACAAATATGAAATCTTAATTTTTTGGTGAAGAAAGAGGTTGTCACATGTCAAGCCCTCATTGACACGAGTATCCTTAGTCAACTCTGGTTCTAACCACATCAGTCAATAACTATCATGTAATTCATTGATAGATGTTGTGGATATTTTACGATTTAAATGTCATCAAAAAAAAACAAATAGAATATAAATTACGAAATTAAAAACTATGTTAAACATAAAAAAAAAATCATACATCAAAGTTGAAGAAAATAAAGACTAAAAATCATATTAAGTGATTATATAAATGTTCTTATATTATTTAAAGGAGTGTTTGACCTCATAACTGTGGTGGCGGTGAAGAGGCTGAAGGAGATTAGGGAAAATTTTTTGAAAAAAATAAGATAAAGCAAGTTGCAAATTCTATAAATATAAATGAAAAGACGTTATAAAAAAGTTTGAAGAATTTTAGGTTTCGGAAAATGAAAAGACGTTATAGGAAATATTTGGGATTTTGTGGGGTTTAGGAAAATGAAGAGGCACCAGAAAGAGGGAGGAAGTGAATAAGACATTAAATTACTTTTAAGTTTGTTTTATTAAAAACCGTAAGGAAATAATTGAAAAAAGAAATTATTTAATGTTAATGGAAGTTTTCAATCAAATAGCGGAAAATTATCCAAACATCAATAA